TCCCTGTGTGCCTATGTGTGTCTGTGTGTCCGTGTGTGTCTGTGTGCCTGTGTGTGTCTGTGTGTCCCTGTGCATCTGTGTGTCCCTGTGCATCTGTGTCTGTGTGTGTCTGTGTGTCCCTGTGTGCCTGTGTGTCTATGTGTGTCTGTGTGTCTGTGTGTGCCTGTGCCTGTGTGTGCCTGTGTCTGTCTCTGTACGTGCCCATGTGCGTCTGTGTCTGTGTGCGCTTGTGTGTGCCTGTGTCTGTGTCTGTATGAGCCCGTGTGTGCCTGTGCCCGTGTGTGCCTGTGCCCGTGTGTGCCTGTGCCCGTGTGTGCCTGTCTGTGTCTGTGTGTGCCTGTGTCTGTGCCTGCTCTGTGCTGCCTCTCTAGAGACGGGGCTCCTGCCTCCCAGGCCCCCTCTCGCTGAGGGCCTCGGTTGCTCCACCTCCCAGATATCTCCGTCTCGGGCATCTCTGTCTCGCTGTCTGTCCCTGTCGGTCTCTGAGTCTCCCCTTGCCTGTCTCCTCACCCCCATCACCCTGGCCCCCTGGGCTGGGGTTTAACCAGTTGTTTTGATTTCTCTAAGCTGTGCCGGCCGCCTCGGGAGCCGCCTCAGGCCTCACAACCCACCCCCAGCCCCTTCATCCCTCATCCAGCACCCCCCACCTCCCCTTAACACAATCTGCACAAGTGGAATGAAAATTGATTTTTTTTTTAAATTTCATATCTTCTCCGGGGCTCTGTCTAAAGAGGAGAGAGACGCGGTCCAAGACCCTTCTCCTGCCGTCACCCCCACCCCCAACACGTACCCTAACCCTCCCGGACACACGCGCCCTGTCCCATGCGGGCACCCATACCGGCTACCTGCCGTCTCACACCGGCACACCTGTCCAGACAGGTCACTGACCCCCAGGCCCAGACTAAGGCGCCATCCCACTGTGGCCGGCCAGGGGCCCAGTGGTGGTCCCAGGGTCGGGAAGGTGACAGGAGCTGGGCCCCGAGCCTCAGCCCCTGATGCCAAGCCCACTCCCAGCCCTGCCCGCTTCTACCCGGTGCTCCGTCCGGCCTGGGGGGCCCCCCCACCTCCCCCCCCCTGAGCCAGGGGCGGGGCGTCTGAGCCAGGGGCGGGGCGTCTGAGCCAGGGGCGGGGCGTCTGAGCCAGGGGCGGGGCGTCTGAGCCTGGGGCTCACAGGGGCCCAACACACAGGCCTCACCCCTTCTCCCAGGCCGCAGACTGTC